GCGGAGATATTCCAACGTCTCTTTGCAATGTCAATGAAATAAATCAGGCATTTCTTAATACAGCTACTACTCCAAATGTGGAAAAGCTAGTTAATTTTTACAAAGGTAATTACATGAAAGACTTTAAAAATAAACTCTCGTTTCGAGACGTGACACAAATTGATGTTATAAGTCATCTTTACAAAATTAAAACTAAAGCTGTGGGACTAGACGGTGTTAGCTTAAAAATGATAATCCTATGTAGTTCCGTAATATTACCTCATATCACTTTCATAATAAACTTTTGCTTAAAGAATAACGTTTTTCCCAAGGTCTGGAAAAGTGCCAAGGTAATACCCCTGCCTAAAGTCAACCGACCACAATCATATACTGACCTTCGGCCAATAAGTATTCTGCCTGTACTATCAAAAGTCTTGGAGAAAATTATGGCGGAGCAAATAAAACATCACCTGAAACATTTTGATATTCTACCACCAACACAATCCGGTTTTAGACAAGGTTATAGCTGTACGGGAACCTTTCGCTATTAGTTTTGTTGGATTTCTCCAAGGCTTTTGATACTTTCAACCACTAAATTTTACTCGGCATTTTAAGCTACGTGGGCCTTGATGATGAATCTTGTACCTTATTGGAAAATTTTTTGACGGGTAGATCGCACCGTGTAAGTCTAAACGGTCTAACTTCTAATGCGGCGACACTAACCTCTGGAGTACCACAAGGTTCAATACTGGGACCATTGCTTTTCATTATTTATACGTGCAATTTTGGTAAGTCACTCAAGCATACTATGTTCCATCAGTACGCAGATGATACTCAGCTGCAATATAATTTTAGTTCAGGTGATGCAGTTAATGCAAATATGCGTATAAATGAGGATGTTGAACGATTAGTTAAGACCTCCGAAGAGCATGGTTTGCGTATAAATCCTCTGAAGTCATCAACCATTCTTTTTGGAAGAACTAAAGCCAGAAACACTGTGGCTAATGACATTAAGATAACTGTGAAAGATGTTACACTTTCCCCAAGGCCATGTGTCAAAAATTAGGTCTGCATATTGATGTAGATCTAAGATTTAGAACCCATGTAGCCCATATTGTTCAAAGAGCTTTCAGCAATCTAAAGATCATATATAATAATAGGCACATATTTAATAAAAGGATAAAAATAATGTTGTGTGAGGCTTTAGTTCTTTCACAATTTAGCTACTGTGATGTTATATACGGAGCTTGTATAGATAGTGTAGATATTCGGCGTATACAGAGAATACAAAACTCGTGTATGCGTTTAATTTTCGGAATTCGAAAGTACGAACATATATCTCACAAGCTAGAGGCATTGGGTTGGTTAAATATGGCAAATAGACGAAAGTTTCATTCATCTGTACTATTTCACAAAATAGTTGTAAGTAAAGAACCTGCATATCTATTTGACAAGATCCAATTTTGTACAAATTCAAGATAATATACCTCTCTAATAAAGCCTCCTTTTCACAGAAGTGCATTGTTTGAAAGATGTTTTTCCTATAACATTGCCAAGCTCTATAACGATTTACCTGGTGTCTTAAAAAATATGGCTATCAACATCTTAAAAAAAACTTGTACACTTTCCTGCTAAAATGTCAAAGTTCCTCGTAGCGTGTGATGAAGTCGTTATTTATTTCTTATCTAATACTTTACTTCTTTACTTCTACTATTACTCTTCCACTTACTTATTTACTTGTTATTTTCCTTTGTCGTTCTTCTTACATAAGATTAATAAGAATCCCAAATTGTTTCAAATTTTCTTCAGAATACATTTTATAAGTTTATATATACCTATAATGGTCAACACTATATAAGCAAGCACGCTTATACTAGTTATAATTGTAAATTCTTTTCTTTTTTTATATTCACATAATTAACTTCACGTATAATTTAATTTAATTTCTACAATGCAAAGGGTTAAGTGGAAGAGCAGGGCTAATGGATTTCCCGTTAGCATCTGAACTTCGCCCTTTTAAATTGCGCACTTGTACATTTTATTATTAAGATATTCTTGTACCTTATATGATTAGCGTGATTTAATAAACGACATGATTATTATTATGGTCGGTGTTTCTTGTGAGAACTCAGGTCTAGCCTGGTTAACTAATCGCACGGATTAAAATCAAGTAACGATTAGTGTAGAAAGGGATGGAATAGAAGAGAAGGAGGTGAGAGAACAGAGAAAATGGCACAAAAGAATATGTAAGGAAGAAAGTCACAGAAAGGATGAGAAGAAGAAACCAAGGAAATAAAAACAGAGACGGACTTTGGAAAGATGATAAACAGAGAAAAAGGAAACACACATTTAGTGGGAGAGCAATACCTACAAATAAAAGACTGGAAGCAACACTTTATGATGGTTCTACAAGGGAAGCAGGAGATAGAGCAGGTGGAAGGAGACGAGATATCAGGAGAAGATAAAGGCAACAATTAAAGAGACCGAAGAAATGAAAGGCGGCAGGGAGGGACAAAATGAACAGATAGTATTCAGGAGAAGCAGAGGAAACTAGTAATAAGATATGGAAAGTAAGAGTACTACCGGAAGAATGCAAGGAAGGGGTAATCGTGTCGATTTACAAAAGAGGGGACAAGGACTGTATGCAAAATAATAGAGGAATCTTAATAATCACAGCGGAATATAAAATTAGCCGAATGGTGAAAAAGGAATTGAACAAAAATGGCGGAAAGGCACTGAGAAATACTGGTACTGGTAAAGGGATTAGAATTAAATGTCAAAAAATTGAAGATGATCAGATGTGGAAAAGGGGGAAGTAGGAAAAGGGTGATCGAATGGAAATAGAAGGAGGAAAGGGTGAGAAGAGAATTTAAATACTTAGATTACTAAATGCAACGAAATAATGGAGCAAACGCACAAATAAGGCAATTAAGAAAAAAGGGAGAAGTGGTGACGAGACAGGTGTGGGGAATAGGAGGGAGGAATATGTTTTATTATTTGTTGGAACTCTTAAAAAACCGAAAAAAAAACTAGAACCGGAACCGGAACAGAAAATTATTGAAGCCGCGTCATAGTGCAAGTGGTGCGGAACCTATATTTCACAGGGGTCCAATTCCTCTGCCTGTACCTTCCTTAGTCAGAAATTTTATAATGCTTCTTTGTCCAAGTTTTACATCACCCATTTTACAATATTCATTTCATTTTTCATGGCATACAAATACGCTCCAAAAGGCGAGTCTAGTACTAGAAAGCATGTGAAAGGCTTTGAACCGGAAGAAGTGTTTTGAAAGCAGTCCATAAGCCTGTGTGAACCTCTGGGCGACCCTATAACGCTTTATGAACGCGGTGTAGTCTTTTAAAATGATTTTTAGAGCATTTAAAGGTTTTCCACAGCCAATTCTCATTATCGACTAGAAAGACTTTTTGGAAAACACTGAAGGTATTGTGGAAAGTAGTAAAAAGACCGGAAGAAGCGCTTTCTTGACCGCGTTTCACCTTTCTACATGCGGCTCATTGTCACAAGTCACAACTGTCTTTTAAGCTTTTAAACAACTTCCCAAAGTAATTGAAAACTTTCCAGCGCTTTCTAGACTGTTCCTTTGCTTTTTTAGACCTTACTTTGAACTTTTTCATACGCTTAAAGCCTTGTTATTATCGAAGAAAGGCAGACAAGGCATTAGAAAGTTTTTTAAAAGGAATTCAGAAACTGATTAAGACTATTTAGCGCAAACATTTATAAATGTTTTCCGTAGCATGCAAAGTTAAAGCAGCCACAAGCTTTTCAAAGACTTCTGGGTCCCTTTTCAATTGTACCAAAGTCTTTATAGGGGATTTAGAGACATTTTAGGAGTTTTTATAGATATCTACAATGTCTATCCAAAGCATTCCTTCTAATGCGCTATAAGGACTTGTGTGAAAAGCAGTCTAAACGTTTCTTACGACCTCTCTTAAGCCATTACATTTTGTTCAGATAGTACCTCGAGCGTTTTAAAGAGTTTCACACTTTTGAGCCTTTTTTGAGGTCCGAGAATGGCAAAGCATTTGAACGTTCTTCAGAAGATTTTAAGCATTTCTCTTTCGGAAAGTCTTTTCTCTGTTGTCCTTCGAGAGCTTTATTTTAATGTATTTAATTCAGCTTTCTGGCTTTGAGGTCCACTAGGCTATATCTGCGTTTCAAAATAGCACCTGGAGGAGTGTCAAAGAAAGCTTTAGAATAGGACTGTAAAAACCGCTTTCAAGGGTCTTATAAGTGGGTCCTAGGGTAAAAATGTCTTACGTCAATAATAGTTTGTATAGAGCCTATAGGAAGTGTCTGAAAAACATTTAAGATAGCGGAAGAAACAAGTTTTAGATGCCTTCCAGGGTCTTCTAAAAGCAGAGCATTTTCAGAACTGTATACAAAGCATTCAAGTGAACCATTGGGGCTGTTGTATATTGAAATGGAATGTAATTTTTAAGTAATGTTTGCACTTACCCCCAACGGGTTTTCGTCTCTGGGAGCGACAATCATGGAAAAATTATGAGTCTCTAGAGAATTTGTGACTAAAGAAAGAGGTGTAATTGGCCATTGCTCCAGATTCAATCTCAACCAATTGGGTCCCGATATATTCCCCCATATAGTATTTTCTATAAATTGCGAAGGGGGGATTAAAGATTGTATGAGATCAAACCGTACAGCTAACTTATTTGCACGACGGACTAAATGCAATTGGCCACACAAAATTGTGGGAAATCATGCATGTGAAAACTAAACAGAGGCGTTTATGTTATTTTGGGGATTGCTTACACCTTCTGAAGCTTTGTAAATGGCCTAGAATGATAATAGTTGTACGGTTGAAAGTGAAAAGCAATTAAAAATATGAATGTATTTATCAAATTTAAAAACCGTTATTGTATTTTGTGGGTCATAGAAATGTAATGTAAGTGAAGCCATATTATATACAGTGGTAAAGCATTTAAAAAAAGTGTTTGAAAGGTAAAGGAGACACACTGTACAATAACACCGGGAAGCATACAATAACCACTAACAGCATGTTAAATATTTTAAGGTTATGTTTTCTCTGGTATTTAAATTTGAACTTTTAGTTTTGAAAACTTAGCCATGCAACTGCCTACTCACCATTCACCTTTTAATTTAAAAGAGGTGCAAAATATTCTTACAACAGAAAATAAATTTATAACAGATTTGCTAGGTATTCTTCCATTTCCCAATACGAAACAACAATCCGGTATGTACCTACCATTACTTTTCACTGTGCAATGCATTACAGAATCTCTTATAGATGACGAAGACGAATCATTATTTGTGGAGAACGAGGGTAATGAAACGAATAATGACGACGAGCAGTATCCCAACCGAAAGATGAAAAGTCGCGCAAAATCTTTGGTGGAGTTGCAGTCTCGGTTACAGCAGATGTCTCAGAAGAAAAACTTATCGTATAAAGAACGACTTTTGAAGAAAACTATTAAATCAAAGATAAAGAAAAAAGGTAAACAAGATCAGAGGAATGTCAAGGTAAAAATGGAACGTGTAAAAAAAGAAGTAAAGCAAGAAACCGACCCCAATGATCAATCAAGTTCTGTAAAGACAACGACTGCAACCGCGAACAGTGACAACGAGAAAATGGTTTTTTCAAAGTTCGATTTGTCGGGGATTGGGAAACAGAAGTCGAAAAAGACAAAGCAAGATCCACAAACAATTCTAGAAAATCTAAAGAAAAGGAAAGAGGAAGTGAAAATGTTACAAGAGACTGGTGATATCAGTAAGGCAGTTCAGATAAATGAAAAGGTGTCGTGGAAAAATGCATTTGCAAAAGTCGACGGTGTTAAAGTTAAAGATGACGAACACCTACTATCGAAATCGATTAAAAAGCGGGATCAACAGAAGAAGCAAAGTAAGAAAAAGTGGGAAGATCGTAAGGCGAACGTAAAAAAGTTGCAAGATGATAGACAGAAGAAACGACAGGCGAATATTGATAAAAGGAAACAGGACAAAAAGACGAAACAGTTCAAACGCGGAGTGAAAAAAGGGAAAATTATTCCTGGATTTTAATAAATTTATATGTTATGCAGTCTGATTTTCTTATTAAAAGGAATGTTGATAACTTTTCCAAACCCTATCTTGCTTTTGTGGTGCTACATGTCCTTATTGGCAATGACAATTTATCAATTTCTGTTGCATGTTCATTTAAACAAAATTTTTCCTAGTTTACAAAGTTGTTTTTTAAGATCTACAATGAGCAGCATCATAGCCCTGCTGAATTCAGTAAATTTCAATCTATTATAATGCAAATATACCTCGAAATATTTCATTGACTTTTAAAATTGCTGTATCTGACTATATATATATACACTTTTTATGTCGTTTGTTTATTCGAATATGTTTGTTATATAATATCCCTTGACGTTTCGATAATTGTAATTCACAATTCTAAGAATAAATCACTATTATTATTATTATTATCAAAAGTTATAAACTAGAAACCAATTTCGAAAGAAAATTCAAAGGGCTGTAACTTTTGAACTAATGGCCCAATCTTCGAAATGTTTGAAATTATCGATTCTACAGGGCACATTCTATAAGAAAATTTTTTTTCCCGGTCGATCTGAGAATTTTTTTTTCGGGGCTCAAAAAAAGGCAGTGTATAACCTCCCTTTTTTACCAAAAATCGACTGCACCAAAATTTCTCGGGAAAACACTTTTTCTTATTAATTTTGGTGCGTAGAATCCAAAACAATTCGTACTTTTTCGATTAGACTCCTCAATCAAAAGTTATAGACTAGAAACCAATTGCGAAAGAAAATTCAAAGGGCTGTAACTTTTGAACTAGTAGTCCAATCTTCGAACTGTTTGAAATTATGGATTCTACAGGACACATTCTATAAGAACATTTTTTTCCCGGTCGATCTGAGGCAATTTTTTCTTCGGGCATCAAAAAAAGGCAGTGTATAACCTTCCTTTTTTTTTACCAAAAATCGACTACACCAAAATTTCTCGGGAAAACACTTTTTCTTATTAATTTTGGGGCGTAGAATCCAAAACAATTCGTACTTTTTCGATTAGACTCCTCAATCAAAAGTTATAGACTAGAAACCAATTGCGAAAGAAAATTCAAAGGGCTGTAACTTTTGAACTAGTAGCCCAATCTTCGAACTGTTTGAAATTATGGATTCTACAGGACACATTCTATAAGAACATTTTTTTTCCCGGTCGATCTGAGGCAATTTTTTCTTCGGGCATCAAAAAAAGGCAGTGTATAACCTTCCTTTTTTACCAAAAATCGACTACACCAAAATTTCTCGGGAAAACACTTTTCTTATTAATTTTGGTGCGTAGAATCCAAAACAATTCGTACTTTTTCGATCAGACTTCTCAATCAAAAGTTATAGACTAGAAACCAATTCGAAAGAAAATTCAAAGGGCTGTAACTTTTGAACTAGTAGCCCAATCTTGGAACTGTTTGAAATTATGGATTCTACAGGCCACATTCTATAAAAAAAATTTTTTCCGGGTTGACCTGAGACTATTTTTTCTTCGGGGCTCAAAAAAAGGCAGTGTATTACCTTCCTTTTTTACCAAAAATCGACTACACCAAAATTCTCGGGAAAACACTTTTTCTTATTAATTTGGGTGCGTAGAATCCAAATCAATTCGTACTTTTTCGATCAGACTTCTCAATCAAAAGTTATAGACTTGAAACCAATTTCGAAAAAAAATTCAAAGGGCTGTAACTTTTGAACTAGTAGCCCAATCTTGGAACTGTTTGAAATTATGGATTCTACAGGCAACANCCTCAAAAAAAGGCAGTGTATTAACCTTCCTTTTTTACCAAAAATCGACTACACCAAAATTTCTCGGGAAAACACTTTTTCTTATTAATTTTGGTGCGTAGAATCCAAAACAATTCGTACTTTTTCAATTAGACTTCTCAATCAAAAGTTATAGACTAGAAACCAATTTCGAAAGAAAATTCAAAGGGCTGTAACTTTTGAACTAGTAGCCCAATCTTCGAACTGTTTGAAATTATGGGTTCTACAGGGCAGATTCCATAAGAAAAATTGTTTTCCCGGTCGATCTGAGACAATTTTTTTTTCGGGGCTTAAAAATAAAAAGGGTGTAATTTAAGGTATTTACTTACCTCATTTTTTAATTTATTGAAAGATAAAAGACGCAGATTTGAGGGTAACTTATTATAACATTTTATCCCGTAATAGTTACTACAGTTCCGAGATGTTGTAAGTCGAATAGATTTTGAGCTAATATTGTCTCTACACCTAGTGGAGTATTCATGTATGTTATATGAAAACTGGTAATCAGCAATGTTTTCTTTTATGAATAATATACAATGTAGAATGTACCAGCTGGGAAGGGTTAAAATACCATGTTCAACAAACTTACACCTACAACAACTTCTGTAGCCTAAATTAGTGAGTATCCTAATCGCACGTCTTTGTATAGCAAACATCCGTTTAACCCCAGAAGAATGTGCCCATGCAATTATGGCGTAGCTCATTACTGAGTGGAAGTAACCATAGTAAGCATTTAGCATAACTTCATGAGATGTCATTGATTTCAAACTCCTCAAAACAAAACATGCTTTCGACAATTTTGTGCACACCTGATTGCAGTGCTCAGACCAATTCAATTTCGGGTCAAGATATACACCCAGGAATTTTAATGAACCAGTATTATTGATTTGATCAATTTGTTTTAAACTAAATATGTACTTAACTGATTTATCATGATTTACGAGCAACTTATTATCAGTAAACCACTCTTCAAGAATATTATACCGGTGCTTGTGTAGTCAGTTATGGTGTTACATCTATTTAATAAAGTAGTATCATCTGCATATAAAATTAACTCATCATGCACCTGAGCAATGTCGTTCTCGTTAATATATATTAGGAAAAGTACTGGGCCAAGTACTGAACCTTGAGTCACGCCTGTCTCAATTTGCTTAAAACCCGATGCACAGTTATTAAAATATACATACTGAATTCGATCGTTCAAATACGATTCTAACAACATAATGCTTTTATATTGGAAATTATATTTTGGAAGTTTACTCAGTAATATCATTGAATAAATAGTGTTTTTATTCAATGGTAATATTGAGTGACTCACACAGTCGAAGGCTTTAGTTAAATCTAAAAAATTTGCAACACAAATTTCATTAGATTCAAAACAGGTTAAAATTAAGTTGGTTAACTTCGAGATGGCACTCGCAGTGGATTTATTGTTACGAAAACCAAATTGACTGTAGCAAAATAACTTTTTTGCTTCAAAAAAGGACATAATTTGTTTTTTTAAAATTTTTTCAAAAATTTTAGAAAAGACTGGAGTAATTGATAGTGGTCGATAGTTTGTAAGATTATCCTTACAACCCTTTTTATGCATCAGAGGAATAACTTTGGATATTTTCAATTCATTGGGGTAAACTGAATTTCGTATACAGGCATTTATAATTTTAGTTAATGGAACAATTATGACGTTTAACACGGACTTCACAATGTCAGCCGTGATGCTAAAATGATCTCTACAATCACTATTATTAATGCTGGATACAGTATCACGCATCTCATTAAAGGATATTTCTTGAAAATCAAACGACGTAGAGTTGTTGATTTTGAAATTACTAAAATATGTAATTGGGTAATATCGGGTAAGGGGTACAATTTAAAGGATGCAAAATTAATTAAAACCGTAGAAGCAAAGGAGTTAGATGTCATCGGTAATGAATATTACCAGTTTAGGGAAATACAAAAATTTCACAAATAAAAACGAGGTCAGGTCAACAAGGGACGTTTTAGAAGTGATGGCGATTGATTATTTAGGAAATTTGGTAAAAAGCGGTAAGAAGAAACACATTTTGACCGTAGATTTGTTTAGCAGATATACAAGGATATCAAATTAATAGAAAGATTTATTAATGAAGTAGGCAAACCTTCGAAAATAATAGCTGACAATGCTACGTATTTCAATAGCGATAGATATAAGGGTTTTTAAGGAAAAGAGACGTTCAAATTGATTTTTGTTCAATTAGACACCCTCAAGGAAATCCTTCTCTAATCGGGTTCGTTACGTAAAACAAATTGAATCGTTCATAAATGATGTACCTTTAACGGTCATTGAAGAGGGGGAGTTAAATTTGGAAGTTTGAATAAGGTTATGGACAGAATAAATAAAAAACAAGAACGTTGGCAGATGGGCCTAGAAAAATTAGTGCATTTTGCCGTATGAAGGACCGTTGGAGATACTTATAAACTAAGAATTAAAGATTCAAATAATGAAATTTTCAATCTTTTTATTAAAGTAAAGGGGAGAAGTCGAAAATAATTTCAACAATTTACTTTCAATTTATAGGGGGAAAATGTGTTTTTTTTCGTAAGTAAATTTTTTTGTTCTAATTTGAAGATCATATACCCTATAATGGCGTAAAATGGAAGAGTAGTTTATTGTTGGGACAAATACTTGTTTTGTCTCATGAAAATTAATAGATAATAAAACAAATTTTTTTTGTATTGTTCTGTTATGTGTAAATTAGTTTAATTAGTTTTTTTTTTGTTGATGAACTCTTCTAACTTGAATTTCATTATTTGAAATAAAAGAACCAGCAGGTTGGTTTTTAAAAAACATTTTATCCATCATCTTATCATATGACGGTAATCAGTTCAATGTTACATTTTATATATGTTGTAACTTGGAGGAAATAAAACTCATCGGATTGCGCTCTATTTGCATACTGCATTTATATTTCTATATTCAAGGATACCCACCTATGTACATGATAATGATAACGTATACAGGTACATTTATCACACCTTCACCCTTATTTGCAAACTTCCTTAACTAAATACAAATTCTTATTTACATCAAAAAGAGAACAACAAAATTTTATTTTCTAGGACGCAATTGATATCGTTCCTGTACAACTGGTTGGGATTGTACTAAATCTACGTCAACTTATCACTTACGATGACGTACTAGGTCCACTATCAACATCGACGCACACTGTCTTATCGGTGAGGTCGGGAACAACTTGTGACGTACTAGGTGACATCTACCTCCACTTTTACCTCTTCGTCGTTCTTGTTCCATGTTGAAACCAAAAATGAATTTTTGTTATTATTATTCTTTTCAATCACTCGAATTTGGTCCGAATGTCTAATTACATTTTTTCCTGTAGATGTTTCAACATCGAACAAGACGGACCCTCGCTTGTTGGCAATTTTCCCGAACATTCCCACGGGATGGGTAGGTGTAGTATAATCTTTAATAATGACCTTATCACCTACCTCAATAACTTTATTTCTTCCGCCAAAATTTTCTACCTGTTTGATTACCTTTTCCTCGACTGTTCTATAACGATTGGGCATAATTAAATCGAGTCGATTTTTAAGATTCCTGCCAAACATGGCTTTGGCTGGGCTAATTCCTGTACTGCTGTGTTCACTATTGCGATAATCTAGCAAAAAACGACATAAAAAAGTATCCGGATTATGCTTTTCTAAATAAGCCTTCTTTAAAGCTTGCTTAATTAATTTGACAGCATTTTCCGCTGCTCCATTGCTCTGTGGATGGTAAGGAGGTGTAAACAATTGCCTGATGCCATTATTTTTCAAAAACGTTTTGAAATCTGAGGATGTAAGCGGTGGGCCGGTATCTGAGACTACCGAGTCTGGCAACCCTAACTGACTAAATAATTTCATCAGCCTCGAAGCAATGTTTTCAGCCGTGGTGGAATTAGGTAACCTTAGTAACTTCCAACCACTTTGTGTGAGCATCTATGACAATTAAGTACTTTTGTCCATTTAGCGGACCCAAGAAATCTATATGTAACCTGGACCAAGGTCGATGTGCAATCGGCCACGGATTTAATGTAGTTCTTGAAACATTTAGCCTTATTGTACTACAAACCATACATCGTTTGCACATTTGTTGGATGTCATAATCGATATTGGGCCACCATACATATGATCTCGCCAAAGACTTACATTTATTAATTCCTAAATGACTTAAGTGTAATTCTTTTAAGATAATTGGTCGCAATTGTTGAGGTATTATTATGCGATAACCCCATAGTACACAACCTCGTACGATATGAATCTCATTTAATTTGTGCTTTTCATAAAACGTTGCGAATTCTTTATCCAAGTTGTCCTTATGCGGCCACCCATGTACCTAAACAAAATCCTATAATTCTGTTTAATACAGGATCTTTCTTACATTCGGCTGCAATATCCTGATGATTAATTGGAATATTTTCCTCTATGTACAAAATGTGTCCCAAATCAACTTCATCCCTTACGTTAATTTCTATTGGCAATCTGGATAAAGCATCAGCATTACCATTACTTTCGGAATTTATGAATTTGATTTTAAAATTATATGTAAATAAAATGACACTCCAGCGTTGTAATCGACTGGCAGCAAAAATTGGAATTCCCTTTTTATCCCCGAAAATACTAATCAAGGGTTTATGATCAGTTAGTAATGTAAAGCTTCTACCGTATAAGAATTGATGAAATTTCTTAACGCCATATACAATTGCTAGAGCCTCTTTATCAATTTGGGAATAAGATTTTTCCGCCGACGATAATGTACGCGATGCGTACGCTATGGGTTTTACGTCCCCGTTATCAAATTTATGCGATATGACCGCTGCGATGCCATAAGCACTCGCATCAACTGCTAAAATAATCGGCAATTGGGGGTTGTAATGCACTAACACTTTAGATGACATTAATTGTGATTTAATTTTTTCAAATGCTCCTTGTTGAGCCGTTTGCCATTGAAATGGCTCGTTTTTCCTTAATAATTTATATAAAGGATACAAAATATTAGTGATACCTGGTAAAAACTTGCCGTAATAATTTACTAAGCCTAAAAATGCCCTCAACTGAGTCACATTTTGCGGTACCTTTACCTTTTTAATGGCTTCCATCTTGATCGGGTCAGTGTGTATACCTTCTTTGTCGACGATGAACCCTAAGTACTGAATTTGTGTCGTTGCGAACGAACATTTATTTACTTGAATTTTTAAATTAACTTGGCTTAATTTGTGGAATACCTCCATAAGTGTTTTTATATGGGTTCCTTCGTTCTCCGATGCGATCAAGATGCCATCCAAAAATATTCCCACATTGTCGATGCCAGCAAAAATATTTTCAATGAGTTGGTGAAAAATACCTATGGGCTGGATGCTACCCCATATGGCAACCTGTTATACTGAAACAGACCCTTATGGGTATTTATAGTGACCAATTTTTTTGATTCGTCGTCTAACTCAATCTGCGCATACGCCTGCGAAAGATCGATCTTACTAAAAATCGCGCAATTTTTTAATGACACTAATAAATCGTCAATTTTAGGAACGGGGTATTTATTGATATGAAGATGGGGATTTAAGGTTATTTTAAAATCGCCACAGATTCTCACTTGGCCATTTTTTTTAAGAACCGGGACAATTGGAGTTGCCCACTCGCTACTATTAACGGGATTTAAAATATCCAATTTGATTAAATTGTTTAATTCCTCCTCCACTTTACAGGTTAGAGCAAATGGTAACGGACGTGCTTTGCGATAAATCGGAACCGTGTTTTCTTTTAAATACAATTTAGCCTTTCCTCCATTAAACTTACCCAAATCGTTATCAAACACGCCGGGAAATTTATCAATTAACATTTTTGAAATCCTGTTCGGTTGATTATCAATATGAAAAATGTTATCAATCGAAATATTAACCTTTTTTAACCAATCTCTGCCAATAAGCGGAGGTCCCCCATTTCTTATAACAAATAATTACAAATTATTTACAGTTGTGTTGTCATACGTGACATTGACTACACAATATCCGATACATTTAATATCGTTGCCATTATAACTTTTTAAATGGATATCTGAATTTATAAGATTACATTGCGAAAAATGTTGCAAATAAAATTTATCAGAAATCGCCGAAATTCCTGACCGTGTGTCAACTTCCATTGTGATTGATTTATTATTTACCTATATGCACATTTTTATAGGCTGGTTATTTATCGAGGCAATCGTGAAAATGTTTAAATCATTTAAATCTAAATCCGACTCCTCTAATGAATCATTAACATATTTATGATAATTGCTATTCGCTCGTGATTTACCCTTACAAAATGAAGCGATGTGTCCCTTTTTTTGGCACAGATGGCACTGCGCATTACGAAAAAAACAACTATCGTCTACATGATTATATTTACCACAGTGATTTCACCTGCTCCTTCGGTATCCACTGCGCTGACCCTTTTCTTTGGACTCTTCCTTGCACGCTACCCTTCTCCTCGTCGCCTGCAATTTATGAACCGCCGCTACTGACGAAGTTCCGGCGATCAAATGGGAGTTGGTCTCTGCTGCTTCCACCCCCACAGCAATTTCCTGTGCTTTTTGGAACGTGAGTGACTTCTCCACGAACAATCGCTGTCGGGTGGTTTCACTCTTGAGCCCGAAGACTAATTGGTCTCGCAGATTTTCCTCCAATTTTTCTCCAAATTTGCAATCTTTAGCTAATTTTTTTAAATTAGCCATGTACACTGCCACTGACTTCCCAACGTCCTGCTTGCGTTGGCGAAATTTATATCTTTCCGCTATTTCGGATGGTTGCGGCTGGAGATGGTTTTGCATCAGCTTGACTAGATCTTCAAACTTTTTATCTTCTGGATTGGCGGGGTTGCACAAATCCACCATTAAGTCAAACGCTTCCCCTCCGATGACGGTAATTAATATTGGCGTATGCTTGCTAGCCTCAATTTCGTTCACCTTAAAATACTGTTTTAATCGCGCGATCGATATATGACGACCAGTTTTTATCTTCGATTTTGTATTCTTGAATTCTACCGAGAAGCGCGGCCATTTTATTTTATTAGGTATATTTATTTGGATTTAATATTAATTTACTTTTAGGTATTTATCAAACGCGTTTACCTTAATATTTAATTTAGGATATTTAATTTACTTTAATCCTCGTCGCCACTGTTGTAACTTGGAGGAAATAAAACTCATCGGATTGCGCTCGATTTGCATACTGCATTTATATTTCTATGTTCAAGGATACCCACCTATGTACATGATAATGATAACGTATACAGGTACATTTATCACAAATATTTTTAGCTACGCCTGATGATGGCCTAAATGGCCGAAATCGATTGCGAAACAGAAAATAAATTGTTGAATTTCACCCAACCTGCTAGTTCTTTTATTTTAGTTTAATTAGTTTCAAATGTAGCATAGTAGGTAAATAAATTGTCGTAAAAAAAAACACAACAATATCCATGTACACTGATATTTTAACATAGATATTGATTTCATCTTAAGTTCTTTGCATTACACCAAAAAGAATGCAACCACTGAACTTCTGCAATCGTCCATCCTAAATATTGACCGCGCACTAAGTTGCTAGATAATTTTTTAACTTTGACATTTTTTCTCCGCTTTTTTATATTAAAACGTAGCATAATTTTGTTCTACACAAAAAAATCTTTGGAATAATTTAATAAAAATATTGCCTTATTTTAAAAAAAGGTTGTATGAGCTCACGGTGGTATAAACTAACATAAACCTCTCGCCAGGAAAGATTGTCGGTCACAGAACACTTGATCCCGATCTACGATCTATGTTTTTCTAAAGATGTAAGCGACTTCCGGGATAGTATCGTGTCAATGTTGAACAAAAAGACTTTTCGTTCAACATTAGCACGATCCTATTCTGTAAGTCGCTCGCATCTTAAGAAAAACATAGATTGTAGATTGACACAAGGTGTGCTGTGACCGGCAATCTTTCCTGGCGACAGTTATATTAAAAACAGTTTTTGACAGTTTTACATCCTTTATAATGCCTAATATACATTCGCAAAATTTTAACGAAATCATAGTAACCGTTTTGGCGAAAAATTTTTTTTAGTTTTTTAACTTTGACATTTTTTTCTGTTTTTTTGTAATAAAACACAACAAACACAATTTTTGTAGGTTGTACACAGAAAATAAGGTCTTTTGAATAACTTCATAAAAATTATAGATTGCTATTTAAAAAAAGTTCGATTCTAAAATTTTTTTTCAAAAATCCGACTCGTTGTTTTTCGTTTCAGTATGCCTAATATACATATCCAAAATTTGAACAAAATCCGTCGAGCCGTTACCTCGCGAAATGCCAACCTATGCACGTTTGCAGGTTACGAACGTACGTACGGTACGCACATACATACAGACGGGAAAAAAGTATTCAACCCCGTATTGTAACAAAACAGTTACAAAGGTGGCCCTTTTTTGCATTAGCCAAAATCCATCTGCCATTGTGTTCCGAGTATTCACTCGACCCCGATATAAATCGGATTGGATTTTGGTACCTTGATTCAAAAATCGTTAAATTCTGTAAGAAACACTTGTTCATCTGATGGTTTGTTTTATTTATTAATATAATTCGTTACAAATATTTTATTTATTGCTGAGTACGTACGACGTCCCTACAATTGTTACAGTAAGTAGCTCGTGCGTATCGTCAAATTAATATAACATAGTATCCCATCTTTCGCATTTCTTTGATCATTGTTTACCGAGTGAGGTCCAAACGTCCGGCGACTGTATTCACGAAAAAGACGAGAGCAAAGATTGATCCTAAACTGATAACGGCGAAATTTTTGAAAGTGTAGGTAAACGAGATCTGTAGCGTAAAAGTATGGTGTCCTCTATTACGTAATAACTAAAACGTATCACAAACACAATAACAATTAAGTCTTGTCTTTAACGCTATGATTAAACTACATACAGGTAACTTTGACTATGCCAATGTGGCAGATTAATTAGAGCTTAAAAAACTTAAATTATGCTCAACAATCAACATTAACATTATATCCGGTGTATATGGTGTCAAGTGCACCCTATAATCGTTAATATGGAAAAATATTCAATTTTACCGGTAGAAACAGTGCACTTTCATCTCTTTCCACCTGTCATAATTTTTATTAGTCCTACAAAAGGTGCTTCAAATCCCAATGAAATTAAAAATGCCGCCACAAATGAAGCAACAGTGTTTCCAAAGTGCACAATTAACTGAAACAAGACGAAATTAGAGATATTAATGGATCAAATGTGTTGTTCACCATAATTATCTGATGCAAATGGAACGGGCCATCCATTTCAAAACTTGTTATGCACATAATTACGGGATGTATTAAATAGGCGCAGTACGTCAGCCTACTTAGCGGATAAATTCCTCTAAAACTGAGTACCGAATCTATTGGTCCTCCGTATCCTGTACTGCACGCAATTGTTATCCATGCAATTGCCAATCCCCATGCTGTATGTCCCAAAGAAGCCTGAAACAGATTAATTAGTCCAGTTCCAAATTGTAACTATCTTACATAGAACGCCGAAACTGGTATCACAAGTCCGTCTCTTCCTAATCCATACACTAACACCAACAGGCAACCTAATGAAAGTACCCACGCCCCAAATACGACTACTTTCGGCATCACCATTTTGTACTTCATCCTCAAGAGTAGATAACCAGTGGCCATTCCGATCAAGTAAGGACCGATCCTTAACCATGGTTTATCGTACAGTTGGTCGAATAAAGCGAACGGTTCCTCAATCCTGGCCACATACTTATACTGCATCGCAATTATGAATGTGACAACCCACGACGTGAATAGAAACACAACGACCGTCCCAACAATCCATCGGAAACATTTCTCATTCCTGAAACGAGCCAATTAGCGTACGTAAAAATCTAGTGGCGCGACCACCTTGCGGCAATTGCCAAGAGTACAATCGCAATTACAAAGAACTGCATATCGTTGGACATATACCAAGACCATAACATGCAGAACTCCGTCAGAGGATAAAAGTTGTTTATGTACAGAGCGTTGCGCCACCAGTGCTCGGGGCAACTGATGTGGTCGATTATTGCTGGACTAAACACTGAAAAGTTGTGGTAATAACGAATTGCCAATTCGTTAAGTCCCAGCACAAAGAGGTAGGCTGGTGTTAATCGAATGTATCGATAAAGTATTAGCAGGATATTTTTTGCCACGCTTAATCCAATGCCGTCCCTTTGCGCTTCCCCACTTTCCGTTGGCGTTTTTAGTTCACGCTTTAGATATGTTGTGGTAAGGAGAAGGCCGCTATAAAGAAAACAGCAATTAATTTTAATCTTCACATTGAAATAATAATCATCAGCTCCAAAACTATGACTTGCAAGTAAAATCAGAACACAAACTCTTCCGAGTTTTATATTGTGCCTACGGAGCATACTACCACGCTCCCAGAAAGATATACCTTCCGATGTACTAATCCCAGAGATTTCCGGAGGAACTCTAGGCTGTATGTCAAACATTTTCTCGGTCTATTCTTCATTTGACTAATTCTGTGAAAGATATGTTTTGGGAAACATTTAGAAGGCTCTCAAAAACGAAGAATTTCTGGTATGCACTCAAAGACTCTGGAAATATATATAAATACCTTCCAATGCAATACAGAGCTTATATCGATTTTCTAGCGCACCCCATCGCATCAGTTGTAGAAAAGATTTAACGTGAGACTTTGATCTATTAAAGTCTATACCCTTTGAAGGTGTCTCAACCGACTGAGGAATTTATTGCTGTGAAGGAGGTAATTTGTACTGAACCAGTAATTTCAACAGTTGCAGACACGAGAGTCGTTAAAACACGTCGAGGAAGAATCGTGGAAAAACCGCGACGTTATGGGGAAAGGAATCGCCTCATGTCCCTCCAGAACGAAGAATAATGTTAGTATATTGTGTTATTATGTTATAAATGGGGTGTAGGTAGATTTCATTCCGCCATTTTGTTCCAATATGGCGGAATTGGCTGATTCACGAACCGAGATATTTATGAGTTACACCAACCCTTAAATTTTGGTTGAAATGGGTTCATAATTACGAAAGTTAGAGTGGTATACAATATGTATAAACCTATAAATATACTGGTCCGAATAGGCAGATAGATAGAAATCTACCTAAAAAAGTTTTGTCTCGATTAATTATCTAAATGTTGTGCGTCATGGGTATCAATCTGTAGCTGCACTTGTGTAGGTTCTAGGTTTATATTTTATTTTTATTTGTATATATGAAGTGTTCCTTCTTGAGTTGAATGATAAAGTAATGTAACGGAAACGCTCCAGACATGACGTCGCCTTTGGCGCTCTGGAATTTTCTAGGCGCGCGATAGTGGGAATGTTTGCAACGTATCTGGTAATTACGCGAGTGTTCTGGACTTACATTGCTTGCGTATATAAATGGTTGCGGACCGAACATCGCGGCAGTTTTTACTACCGAACGAGATCGAGTACGTATGAAACATCGAGCGCGGGAATATAAATTGCGAAGTGTGTGATATAAATAGTTGATATAAATTGTACGGTTTTTATAGTGTTTTAGTTTTGTTTAATAAATATTGATATAAATCGAACCCGAATTTATAAATCACGTTACAGTAATAAAGATTTCAGGTACTCAAGTAAATTTATTATTAATAATAAATTTACTTGAGTACCTGAAATCTTTATTATTTTATTTTTACTTGACACCAATTAGCAATTGCAACGGAGGTTTATTGATATATTCACCCGTATAAGATACGGACCTGTATTTTTTATAAAATTCATGTGCGTGTGCCTATTAAACTAATTATTTGGTACCCGAAGGAAAAGTGAGGAATCCTTGTGCTTGATTAATATAAATTATTTGCTTATTTCGATATTTCATGATCAATAAACCAGTTCTTTTTTGTCCAATACGCCCATTAACCTACAAAATTGGAGATGTTAATCTTGACCAAATTTACCTCGGGAACTCTCACAAGTCTATTGAGAAATCTCATTAATTTAGTTAAGATCAAGATCTCATTGCAAGAGCAATACGTACCTTATAAAGAAAAACGTGTCTACCGAAAACGTTCCATTGGAAATCGTCTGATAAAGGTAGGAACGTTCGGTAACGGTCCTCAACGTTTTATTATCGGCAACGGCGAAAACCTCCAGGTAACTGTGCACGAGAATGATCCAGGAAATTGAGAAAAAACGAAGTCCGTGCAAGCAAGCAATTGACTCCTTATTCAAATGATCCACGTTTAAAATTCTTCTTCCGTTTGTAATTGCAGAAAAACAGAGCAGCACGTTCTTGGGCAGTTCTATAAATGTAAATTATCCAATTAGATTTCCTAATTTTTAAATCATAAATTGAACTGTAGGTACTTCCTTAATTAAAACTGTAGTTCGTGTGTTTACAAATCACGCTAATTTATTATACATTACGTACACACAATAGCAACTCATTAACATGGTAGACTTTCTGAAGGTATGCTTGTGGATAAATGTCAATGCTCTGTTTTATGCAAAAAATTGCATTTTTGTGATTAAAGTGCCACTTATAATGATGTAAGTTAAAAATTTCCTTAATTAGTGAACCAACATTCTTAGTTAATGAAGAGACTCGTGGCTACCTACTTGGTTATTGAAGTAGAAAATTGAGACAGCATACACTTTGTTATGTAAAACAGATATTATAACCTTACCAAATATTCCAACTTTCACACTCTTTTTGGAAAGGTCAGGATCTGCAGTTGTTCCATATTGCTTCGTTACTTCAACATCTTTATCCTTGGACAAACAGTAGTCCACCGCCGTTGAGATCAATATTAACACAAGTACAAATGTCGTGACTGCACTGAAATGTACCAAAGTCGCATCAATTTTTATCTAGGTATATTCGATCAATTTATTTTTACTTGAACTCCTCACTCAAAAACTCTTTGAAATTACCTACATAAATGGTTACTCCAAATTACTAATTAATTAGCAATATAATTAGACTAGGAGGTGAATATAAGGAAATGGGAACGCCGAATATGTCGATTTTGATTTTATTCTAGGATATTTGAGGGAAGTAATTATTACAACTTACTACATGTGCAAATAACTATAGAGAAAGCGGTAGTTATACTAAACTTCACACATATCAGGAAATTGTACGCCCAAAGTTTCCTTTAGATATTTATATTTGCTGATATTAATATAGTTTCACTTTTCTTTTGATGTCGTTGATTATGTAAATTAACCATAAATCCATTTTTTATACTTAGCTACTTTATTTGAATTCGATAAGTAAGTATTAGGTTTCCTATTTCATTTTTTTTTCTATGATAAAACCTCTTATCGGATCTCAATTTAGGATACGAAAATTAACTCTTGGTTGCTCTTTCGAATCATAAAAAAGAGTCAGTTTTAAACGCAGAAAGCAATTATAAAGGTCATGTCAGGTTATGTGTCCAAACAGATACTATTAGTTAACATTAATATTAATAATTAATATTATCGTATTAGGACCAAATGGGCACTACGTGTAAAGAAAGGGTACAGTGGAGTATAAAGAAATTTTTCTAATAATTATTATTACAAAGTACATGCGAATGTGCGTGTGAAAAAGCCAGAAGGAGCATAATTTTGTAATCTAAATTTAATTGCGTTATTTATTTATCTACAATTAACTATTAATAAATCTATAACAGTCTTGAAATGAATTAATTTATAACAGTAATTATTATTTATCACAGCTAATTTAAATCATAACACGAGCGGGAGCTTAATATTTCACTTCACATCGATGTTAGAACTGACTCGAAACAGATCAACTCGATTTTCTTATATAGCAAACGCTCATTTCTCTCGAAAGTTCTCGAACGCTCCCGAATAACACACCGTTCATTTAGGAGTCTACCAGCTTTAAAAACCACCCGGTATAATATATGGACGAATAATTGGGCGCTTCGTTACTAAGAAAACCTTCTAAGTTTATTTATTTCTTCTAGGAGTGAGAAATGGAAGATAAAAGTAATGTTTTAATTTGTAGATCCGTGTAACCACTGAAAGGAAATTAGTTGGCGTATATAATTGTGCAGTTGGGACGGGGGAAGCAAGGAAAAATTTTAGAATTTAAGCTCCGTTAAGTAATTATTAGATGATTTTAGTTTCTTATGTTAATTTAAAAAGCTGCAAGGTCATGCAGTTTATTTCATTGTAAGATCTGATGCGATTGATTGAAATAATCCGGTCATTTAGTTCAGTATAATTAAATGATTTGCAATAAACAGGTACGACATGCTACACAGGGCGATGACACGATGTTGACTCCCAACAAACCGCGTAATCTAACCTGAAGTTGCATATTTGCCCTAAAGACCAAAGTCGCTGTATAAATAGTAAAAACAATCAATCAGAATTATGCTATCAGGAAATTAATCAAAAGAAATCCTTTAAGAACCTCCTCAAGTGATTAATTGGCGAGATTTTACGGGAAATCTTTTAAGAAAAAGGACCCAATGACATTAAAATACAGAGACTCAAAGAAATTCAAAGAAATTTAAATGAATTGCTGCAAGTGATTTCTTACCAACTGCCAAACATCCATAATGGTTTACATTTACAGTAGAACATTACAGGGACATATTGCAAAACATTACTAGCGTAGCTCTTAATTCCAGCTCAACCTCGTAATACTAGGGCCCTGAATTTTGAGCGTCTTGTCTTTTGGAATATTCGAGTCTTAGAACTTTATAATGTTCATATCTTCAAATTTAATTGTTTGTTAAGCAAAAAAGCTCCAAGCACTAGAATCATCTGTTAATCGATACTTAGAGTCTTTGATCTAATGAAGCTTCGAATTTTCAAGCTCGCAAATATTCAAGTGGTAAGTTGAGCATTGAGCCACGAATTATGCGCCTTTAATCCTGAACCTAACAAAACCTTGAAATTCGGATCTTGAATCTTGAATGTTGAATTGTGAATCTTGACCCCTGAACAATAGATTCTATACCTTATATCCCGATAATACCAAGCGTTCGGTTTTATAGGCCCCTGAGTTTGTAAGCCGTTGACTTTAGTCCTTTGATTTTGTGTTTTGGTCGACCTTTTAACAAGAAATTTCAGGTTTAATTCGGTTGTTGCTCCATTTTTTAACGCAAACAGAAATTTCGTGCAGGGCGTACACGATGTCGTTTAACAATTGACCCAGAACCAACAGGGTAACTAACAACCTGAAATTTAGTACTTACATGCCCAAAGGGCCCAGAGCTAGTGCCTTTTTCGCGGAACTTTGAACTGTGCGCAGTTACCGACTAAATAATCAGTACTGCTAATCAATGACCTGTCTTCATATGAAGGTTTGTATATCGATGAAGACTGGACTATAACTTTATACAATTTTAAATAATGGTGCAATTTTAAAAAGTAAACCCTCGAATTAAAAAAATTATGGGTCCACCACGTCTTACATAAAAACTGTAGGGGTTGCGACACTAGACCGCTAATGGATAAAGAGATTAAGTACTACATAATCTTCGGCGGTGCATTGTAGGGATGTTGTTGGTACCAAACCAGAAAACATAGGAAAAAACGTTTTTTATGAGAAACTATTTTTTATTCGATTTTTAAAAATATTATAATCATTCTTCTTCTATAACATCTTAAAGGGTTCCAAAATTGATCTGTCGTCTTTATATAGGTACCAAAGTTGTATGATAGTCAAACCTATTAACTTCACTTCACTAACTTTTTGGTTTTTATTTTTAAAAATGTGTTAGTAATTCTTCAGCTGAAGTAGCTCTAGAATGTATATTAGCTAACAAACAAAAAGAGAAAAGTATTTAAAATAAAAGTTGACATCCTTAACCACGTGAAGCTAAACGTGTAGCACTAATTGAAACTTTACTCTCTACTACTTATTATGTAACACCTATATAGTCATTATTAAAAAAGTCCTCAGGTAATGTGTCGGCATCTACAATGACATACATTCGATCAATTCAAACATTTATATAACAATAAAAGATTACCGATTACGTATTGGTTGGGTAACTGACATTGTTGGAAATTAGTCAATTGTACAAGTTCAATATTACTTACCTTAAGATGTGAAATTTGATATCCTGCAGCATTGAATAATCGCCGGGTACTGCGCGTACAGAAACCACTGAAAGTGAAGTTGCTTGGGACCGTTCTTGTTTTAGTAGACGTCGGATATCGGATGTGGTACATGATCTTGGAAGACATTGTCCCAAGTGTAGTTGACGTGTCTGAAAGAAAAATTATAATAAATATAAAAGTTCTAAGCTCTAAGTACACAGTCCAGCCGACAGACAAAATGTTTTTCAGTTTTTACCCGCAAAAAATAAACTCAGATTGTTTGTAAACCATTTATCTATCCTAGTGTCTTCAAGGGTTTTGGAAACTAAATACTAACAAGATGGTGATGGTGCACTCGCACACAAAAATCCACATGGACTATACGAATTGTAGATGTATTATCAATCAAGATCCTTTCTATACAACCGGAACAACAAAATGGAAAAAGTATAATTCCGTGGCAAACATTTAAAAAAATAGACAAAGATAAAATGAGTTACGTGGGTATGGTGGAACGTGCGGAACTTTATTTACAACAAATAGTATATTGAAAGACAAGTGTTACAATGCGACCTATTGTAATACGACTATCTTGTGGCACGAGTGGCGACGCGAAGCGTAGCCACGAGTGTCCGCAAGATAAGAGTATTACAATAAAGCATTGTAACACGCGTTTTTCATACTATTTTTTCTATTTCGGTGCTTTAATTAATTTAAAAAACCATTATCAGAAACTATAGGGAACATTAGAACTAACATGTTTTACGTTGGGAACACTTTTTATGCCGTTAAGTTTTAGGTTGGCAGCGTAGTAAGACTGACATTTTGAAGTTCAAACATGGAAGTACCTGGAAGTACCCAACGAAGTACCTACTTGTACTAACTAGTAACTGCCAACTTAAGAGATGAGTTACCAAAAAAAACGACTATAATCACTGTCTTTGTACAACTGTTTTCGCCGAAAACAGTTGTACAAAATCATCATTGTGACACCGAAATAGAAAAAAAAGTAAGCCCACGAGGCCGTCAGGCCGAGTGGGGTTATTTTCTCAAGTGACTTATTTGTAATTAACACACGTGCACCACACAAAACTTTATCCAACACCTCCTCAAGCTGGTTTAAAACGTGGAAATCTTAAAAACTGCGTGTTCCGCGAAAAGCTAGGGTGCATGGAATACAAAAGCAATAATTCGTTGCTATGGGGAATAATAAACAACAAAAAATTTAGTCAGAAAATTTATATGGATTTACTTATGGTTCCTGTCTTTATCTTGCTAGTGAGTTATTTTACGTCCATAACTCATTAGTGGGTTATATTATACCTTACTCGTTTAATTTCGTCATGATAATGACTGGATAACATAGAGGTGTTGGATAAATTCTTTTTTTTAATAGGAAATCGCCCTGTATTGAAACGAATCTCCATTACACCAAAAGCTCTCAAAGCTTGGATAATCAAAGAAATAGATTAATGGTTTTCAAGAAAACTTCAGAATATTTTAGAGTGAATTCAGGGTACATTCCCTATTGATTTAAGGAAGATTTTAGGACCAGTAAGGTTCAAAGAGAATCAGTAATTAACTAAATATTATACACATTCACTAAATATTAACACAATATTAAGGCTTTACCTTTTAATTTATTCAAATCAAGAACTAAAGCTTTTCTTATTGATAAAGCGTTTTACTCGTATGAGGAATCTTTCAGTACAGAGTTCTTTTCGTGACAATTAAGTATTGTTGTTATAATTTTTGTTTGTTCTTACATTTGTAATATTTTTATTTTGCTTTTGTGTTGACCAATGTATGTAGGCTGTTCTACGAAACATTAAATAAGCTTTATTATTATTATTATAAATAATTTTAGGCTGAAGTTTAACAGAAAGAATCAGGTGAATATGCTCAAGAGATTTTCAAGAATTTGTAGGATTTTATGATATGCAACGGTACAGGAAAATTATGGGTCTTTCTCCGGAAACCTTTACCAGGTTTCCTGCAAATAAAGGCTAAGAATGATTTTGTGTGAAAAAGAAAGGTACCTCTTGAGGATTTAAGGAGAGTCGAGAAGTTCACCAAGATTTCACAAGGAGTATTGGTGAGATCAGTATCGAAAGCATTCTAGGGTTATTTTCAGAATTCCAAGAGAATTCTAATACAGAAATTAACACAATTTAAAAAGAATTTCAGGTTTAAAGAAAATATTTAAAAACATTTAAGAGAATGTTAATTAGGTCTACCCAGTAGCAAAATAACTATTGAAATACAACAAATACTAATGTTATAACGGTGGGCATTAAAATAAAGCAGTGTTAGGAACTTAACCTTAAATCTAACAGGCACGATGGCGTATTGTGGGAGGTGAGACGAGTTTATGTTCAATATACTGGGATTCTTCCGAGAATTTAGTAGTTTTTTTAAGAGATTCTTTTCTGATGTTTGCAGGGTACATCAGATATTCTCGGAAGGGTTTTCAGAAGTTCTTGGAGGATCATTAAAAATTGTTCAGGGGATTTTCAGACTTATTTTAAATGTATTTCAGAATTCTCTTTCAAGAACTTGTAGGATTACTCAGGTTCTCCTCAAAATATTCTCTTGAAATATATTCAAAGGTTTTAAATAATTAAGAAACATAGCTTTCAGGTTAAAAATCGATAATTGTTCCGATAAACTGCCCTATACTGATTTTTTCATTGAAACATCCTTAAATTGTCCGTCAGACATCTAGGTATAAGAGGTTCTGTATATTTTCCCTCACATATTTCTTAAATTCTTTAGATTCTTTCGAGATTCCCTTATCTAATATTTTTGAGATATTTTTTAGAGGATTTCTAAAAGTTTGGTAAGATTGTTCAGGGTGTTGCCTAGAAGACCGTAACGGAAAGAGATACAATGTAGGTTAAATGGGGACAAAGTTGCCCCTTTTTGTGAGTAAAGAAACGTATTTAAAATTGTTGAAACATTTTTGTAAATAACTTGAGATATTACCGAAAAACTGAAATATATTTTGAAAACGAAATGTAACATTTTCAGTTTTTCGGGGATATCTCATGTTATTAAAAAAATTTTTTTTTTAATTTCAAGTGCGTTTTTTATTCACAAAAAGGGGCAACTTTGTCCCTTTGCAACGTACACTGTATCTCTCACTGTTACGGACATCCTAATGGTGATCCACGAATTTGAACCACTCTGTATAGTGAGCTCAAAAGATTCTCCAGATTTTCTGAGATTAAAGACGTTTATAGATTTTTGATACAATTTTCATGGACATTGTAAAATTCTTTGGAAACTTTCTCAGAGATTCTTCGTTCATTCTTCTAGGTGATCTTAAAGCTGCTTGAGAAGGTTTCAAAGTTCTTTACGGATTAGAAAAAAATCTTCAGGAATGTATCAACGATTTTTTGGGAACATCTGTTAGATATTCTCTGAAAAACACATTTTTAAGATATTTTCAAATACTCTTCAGAGAGTGTTCAGAACTTGGGCCAAGGTTCTTCACAGGTCACTTAAACATTTTCAACTTTCTTCAAATTTAGAGCTCTTTTTGAGATTCGATTCGTAAGAACTCGTAAAGTGTTTGAGGTGATTTCTGGTGGATTCGTATATGTTTCGGTGTGATTTTTCGGAAGTGTCCTCTGGAAAAGATTCATGTGGTCGGCTGCATCAAAGAGGATTCCAGGTTCCAATTCAGGTTTGGAAAGCATCTACGTCTAATACTCTGCGATCATGGCAGCTTCTTTCCTTCTACTCGCTTCCATTTTGCACTCGTTCACGCTCTCTTCATAGTTTTGTCTTCCACATTTACCTTGTCTTGTCTTGGCTCCGCACTCCTTTACAACCTTCAAGCCTCTTCTACCACTTCTGATGTATCTATCTTGGTTCTATAATACCTCCTGAACGAATCGTTGATGCTCCACTCCTTTCTCATTTTTCTCTCAGCCTTGTACGCTTCCTTGTTCCACATTTCTTCTTTCACATCTGTTCCTTCCTCATGTGCTTTTGATTCTTTTGCACTTTAGGAAGTTACCTATATTTTTTGTTTGCTTTTTACCACTTTCTCGTACATTTCATATACAGGGTGGCAATTTGGAAACTTACAACCCCCCCATGTCTTAGTAAATAAACGAGATATTTAAAACAAGTTGTAAATCGGCATATGCTTGATTAAAGCGCATTTTTGGTAGTACAGGTCAGTATTTTATTAGCGAAGTTTAAAATTATCGATCTCACGCGTAATTTTGGCTGCGTTAAATAATTAATTTTATTTAGTTTCAACTGAGGGTACGTCTTTATTTTGTAAAACAAATCACAAGGTAAATAATTAAGTTTTTCGTAAGTTCCTAAGTTCATCGCCAACTATGTCATTGTGATTCCCCTTCCGAATTACCGAAACGGATTTTGATTTTTTTAAATATCTCGTTTATTTACTAAGACATCGGGGGTGGTAAGTTTTCAAATTGCCACCCTGTATAGTTGTGACACTAATACATTTATACTTTAAATCTGTTAAAAAATTCTTTAATTTTTCTTCAGTATTATTTTAATATTATAGCAAAAAATTGCCTTATACGGCCAAAAAGACTATAAATAACTATAATAAATTTTACGTCAAACTTTGAAGTTGGGGGGGGGGGGG